ACTCTCGTCAAATGATTTGTAGCCACAGTTCCAGGTAGAGCACCAACAGCTTCCCTCCTGATGGGTCGAGGCATGGCTATAACGGACCTAGGATTTTGGCTGACAGAAACGGTAGGAAAGGGAGCAGGCAGAATTGGTAAAAGACGATGAGTTAAGCGGTCAGGCAGAGCGGAAGATGCAGTTGTACTTTCCGTAGTAGTCGCCAGGCTGCGGCTGTTATTAACGACTATGGCATGGGCACTGCTGTTGATCCTTGTGGCATTAGTGGCAGCGCAGGTTGTGGGGAGTGTGGAGAAGGTATTAGAGCTAGCCGTGGCTGTTACTGTGACAGGAATAACCGCCAAACTGAGATTACAGTGCGACGTGACACGAGGAAGAATAGCAGTCTTTCTGACAGGCATCTGAGCTGAGGCCAGATGTGGCAGTGAGGAAGAGGATGTATCGAACGGCAGATGAAGAAGGGGTCTGGTGCCCGATTGGTGAATAGACAAACTTGTGGAGAGAGGCTGAGAAGATGGAGGATCATTGATGAGGAAACTTTGAAGCACTGCATCGTCATCAACGTCGAGGCCAATTGAATTTGTTGAGTCTTGAAAGATCAAAATAAATCGATACGTTCAACAAACTGAAACCTGGAAAACACGAAGACCAAGCCTTTTGTACGGTCGCAGCTTCCTTTCATAGGATAGAATATGTTTGACCTTATTTTCGCAACTTGATCATATTGGTAGGAAGACCTAGAGTAACGCACCGAGTCCGGAGTCCATAGTATGCAAGCGAATCTCCAAAGTCGGACCATGGATGTGGTACATTCTCAGACTACGATGCCGGAGAGACGTCTAGGAATGCACCGCATCCACGGACCGACTGAAAATTATCATGCATACTATGGACTCCGGACTAGGTGCGTTCTTCTAAGTCTTCCTACCAATATGACCAAGTTGCATAAAACAAAGTAAACAACTTCTAAACTAAAACCTGCTTTAAATATGGAGAAAGCTGAGTTTCAAAGGATCCCTTAGTAGATCAATGCTGACATACGTTTCATTTCGTTTGAAAAGGCGGGTGAAAGAGATTCTTAAATTGGCCACTGATTGTCCTAGACCTATGAGTACTGGATTGTGAGAAGGAGACCTCAGCTCACCGACCTGCAACTCCGATGACTCCGTTCTGAGTTTTCATCAGTCACGTAAGGGACAGCATCAGAGCCAGAAACCAGTATGAACAAATAATAATAAAAATACTAAATCAAGGCGATCTGTGTGGTCTGTCTCTGCTTATTTCATATACCCAACTTTGC